TTATCCTAAAGTCGCATTTTCCAATTATGTCGACACGGTTGCCCGTTGCCGATGTGATACTCACTCCCCCAGCCGGCACCATACTACTCTGGTCTGCGAATTCTTCGCTTACAATCGTGACACTAGAACCGGTGTCGATCAACATCGAAGCACATTTATTATTCACATCTCCTATAATTTTGGCGGTACAAAATTTAGGATTCAACTGACATGACACAATATTTTCACATACATATTTCACAATTTCAACACTTTTTTCACTATTCCCGGAGGAATTTTCTTCCTTTATTTTACGCGACCGGCTCTCTCTAGGAGGGTATTTGAACTCCGCTGATCCTTTACCTCCACACAAAAGGGCGGACTTTAGTTTCCCGAATTGGTGTTTCTTTGCTCATTACATCGGATCGCGATGTGTCCCACTTTTCGACAGTTGTTACAGATCGGTCTCCCGTCGGTAGTTCTAAGGTATCGGTCTGGTCTTGAACGGAATCCACGGCCTCTTCCTCGAAGGTTTTGTCCCCGAGTCGGCGGAACGTATTGTCGCTTAGAGGTAAATCGTCCTATCTGGGTAGCCATCACCGACACTTTAGCTGTGAGTTCTGCAAGGGACTTTTCCAGCTCCTCTGTTCTTGTAGAGCTGCACGACGTAGCTGCCACTTTTGTTCTGGCCATCGGGGCATCCACCAGGAAGTTGTTACACTCCTCTCTCTTTGCATGTCTGAAAGCTTCCTCGAATGTTTTAGGATTGGAAAGTAAAACATACCTCTTGATTTCAGGCTTTAACCCTTGAACGAAATGTTCCTTAGTGAGGGTTTCTTTTTGCCGTCCAGGCATGTCCATGTACGCACTTGTAGCGAGCTTTGTTATGTTTGTCGCATAATCCTCTACAGTTTGTGTCTCTGCCTGTTTGTATCCGAACAAGTTAGAGTAATACAATGATTGAAGTTCTTTCGGAATAAATCTTTCTCGCAGAGCATCACAAACTAAGCGATAGTCATCTTTGACATCATCGTCTAAGGATTCGTAGTAATCCACTGCCTGGTCACGAAGGAATGCAGGTATTGTTATGCATTTCCTTTCATCAGTCCAAAAATTAGCTCTAGATATTCGATCAAAGTTTTTAATCCAGGAGTCAAAATCCTCTTCAAGTTTCCCGAAAAATGGAACTGGCTTTATTAAGGTGGATGATTGTCTTACGTCAGGAACAACTTCAGGAATAACGTCCTCAATTGGGTCTTGTCTCTTTTTCCGCGGCATTTTCTTCACAAGATTTGAACAAGAGTTAATATTCCAAAATATCCGTTAAGTGATCCCACCGCTGCCACCATAATATGTGACGGGGGTCCTCCTTGTCACTGGCACTGATTAATAATTACGATTGTTTTTATTTACATAGTTTATTTACATATTTACAACACACGCAATATTTTTATAGTAATGCACAAAGTTCACAATTATAAGATACATCCACTCTCATTGACTTCCAAACTCATTCTCTCCTCTTGTTATCACATGTTCTCAGGGCATGGCCATACCAAATCTCTTACTCCCCAGTTTCTCACACAAATCAACCTAATGCTCACTTTCATCTCTCAGAACTCTATCAAACATAATAAACAAACGACAACAGAACTGACACACTAACATATTATAAATTCATGCTTGCTCAACTCTCTTTCTCTCTAACTAGCTAAAATGACACCCATGGGAAACAGGGCTACAACGCCTGCGTCGTGCACCTGCAACCTTATCAGACCTTCTAACTCTCTCATTTATTTACATTTAATTAACTTGGGGATAGCTCTGTGACAGTATAATAGCATTAAGCTATTATCATAAATACTTTGTAAATGAAGATGCATGGCTCAGTCCGACGTTAAGCTATATTCATAATAAAATCATGAATAAAGGATTTCGCATTTTCATCACAAAAAGTGACATTCTACTATTCCAAAATTGTGTACACAGCCACTTTTTAATCAATGAAATAGAAACATTTCGGTCAATCCCTGTATATCCAATTATTTTCATCGTCTCTAACGGCAACACTTACATTTGTAATCCGTAGGCCGTTCAAATAGCTGTCCAACGTCGCTTTTATGTCGTTTTCTCGTGATGTTTCTTCTATTCGTCTACTAACTGATTATAACGAGATCAACTTAAATTATATCTAAATTTTATTTATTTTTGACCTGTTTTATAAAAATATTAAATCGATAAACTTTATAACAAAGCTCTTAACATTAAAAGAGCTGGTCTAGTTTGAGCTGACTAAGACAAATCCAAAAGGAATAGAAGACATGCATTCTTCTATTAGCAGAGCAAAATGTACATACTGTCAAATCCTTTTTTTCAAGTTTGTCAGTGCATTTAATTTTTTTCATAAGGTACCGGTACTAAATCTAAATAATCGATGTCTTGTTTATTTAGGTAGTTTTGGGGAGGGGTTAAAGTGCCCTAAAAAATTAAATTGCTTTATGACATCAAAAATCACACAAAAAGTGCGTATTGTACATGTTTTTATCTTATTGGCAATTGAAAAGATTGAACTTCTTATGAATAATAAAAAGATATGTAAGTTATTTACAGTGTAATAAATACAAGTGCTTGAAATTTGTTTTTTAAATATCATATCTTTTAATTAAAGATGTTAAATTTGAATTAACATAAAAATTCAAATAACAAAAACGACAGTGTCGACGAACTTTATGGACAACCCTCGTATAACTTGAATATAGGTTCTAGTATTTTGCGATTTGTCTAGGAAATATGATAAAGAAATGTATCAATATTTCAATCTGAAATATAGTAACATGGGGTTAAATCCAGTACTTGTCCTTAGATTTGTGCATGTGGTCTAATGCAACGGTAAATGACACTCATCTTCTACAGTATATCTAAAGAATGTAAAGAATATATTATGTCACTTAAATGACGTTTTTTTCTTAAACTTCAATATGCCAACAAAGGAATTGACGCGGTTAATATAAGTAATATTCTTTATCACAAAAGGGTCCAGTCTTGTATTCCACCATATTTCAAGTTAAAGACTAATCCTTGTATTTCCTACAAATATACATCGACTATTGTTCCAAACTTTTTAATTACAAGAGAACTTTACAGGGCCTGGATATCGAATATCTGAAACACAATCCTCCATCGTGTTCATGTTCTTCTTCACCCTATAACTATAGTCCTGCTGGACACATTATTAATGGTGACGTAAATATAGTTAATGATGAGGACCTTAGATCACTAATTTTAAAAGGTCCTAAATATAGAGAACCCCGATCCTTCAACTGGCGTCGGAATTTCATAAATATTATGGATTCTGTAGAGGATTACGCCAGGCGATGGGCCAGACATGAAAAAGAAGACCTTGACACTTTGTCAGAATGGATTAAATGTATCAGATGTATGTTAAAATCGCGTATTAAAAGATTGAGCAATATGAGAACCATCTATCCTTCTGTATTCAGTAATCCAGAAGTGAAAAAAGAATTAGATTACATGATCAGTACGTACTGGTCCCTGCTGACAAAGCAGGTAACAACATTGTCTTTGTTTGTAAGGCTCATTATCAAAGACAGTAAAGACTTATCCTACCCAGACACCCATAATACAGTACACAAGTATTATGCTTGTATTTGTAACATTACCTATGGATTTTTAGAATTAAAAACACATTTATAGTTAATTGTTTATTGTATGGCAGATATTGGCCACAGTGGTCAAATAAACGTATTTACAACATCAAGTTTGGGGTCGCCAGACAACAGGGCTCACCCCCTACAACAACATTTTATGTGTCGTCCGAAACGGTAAGTAGCATGCTGGGTTGATCACAATCATGCTACCGACACATCAACATATCATTTAGTATACAACTCTTTACTTTAAACTGTCTATATGAAAAAATTATTAAATCAACATCAACGTAACAACAGTCAACATCATATTTCCACAACCAACTTGAAGGTGACGATATGGCTTCACCCAATATCCCGTTGAGCATCCAAATTAAACCATTGTGACGAGATGTAGGTCTAAGGATTCCTGTGTCTGTAGACAGGTAATGGTATCTGAAAGTATAAAACTTAAACGGCAGAAACACTGAACAAGTCAAACAAAGTAATTATATGGGGCTGGGTTGGGAGGGTATTTTTTAGAAAAATTTTAACTCTCAATTTCTAAACCATCTGCTGGTTACAGGCCTTGATTGAAAAAGGAAGTACGGATGCTGTAATTTCAGAGTGATACACGAGATGCTTATAAATTCCCGGTCCAAATTTCCGGATAACGCAACAGGCTGATACACAAAATTATCAACAAAACAAACCAAATTTTAGATTTACACAATACATAAATCCCAATCAATATTAGCTTAAAGCAAAATTATGAGGAGAAAAGCTTTGATAACGGCATATATTTACAGACAAGCTGAAATATATGCAATTATCAAAGACAGTAAAGACTTATCCTACCCAGACACCCATAATACAGTACACAAGTCCTATGCTTGTATTTGTAACATTACCTATGGATTTTTAGAATTAAAAACACATTTATAGTTAATTGTTTATTGTATGGCAGATATTGGCCACAGTGGTCAAATAAACGTATTTACAACATCAAGTTTGAGGTCGCCAGACAACAGGGTTCACCCCCTACAACAACATTTTATGTGTCGTCCGAAACGGTAAGTAGCATGCTGGGTTGATCACAATCATGCTACCGACACATCAACATATCATTTAGTATACAACTCTTTACTTTAAACTGTCTATATGAAAAAATTATTAAATCAACATCAACGTAACAACAGTCAACATCATATTTCCACAACCAACTTGAAGGTGACGATATGGCCACATGGGCACCTGATGAATGTGTGCATTTGCAGACATACAATCAGGTTGCCCACCGCCACATGGTGGGGGTAGGAACCTTCAAGATGACCACTGTGCCTCTGCCAAAAAGGCATACCTACTTTATGGACTAAATTACTTAGTAAATTATTTACATGGAAATTCTTTACTTTTACCCCCACTGGCAAAATACTCCAGGGCCCCCTGAATGTTGAGGAAAATGTCATTCCCCAACTCCGACAAGTGTGTTCCATCTGAGTGATACAACTGTACAGGTTTACCTATAAATTGAGAATGCGTGATAATTTTCCCCCCATTTTGAAATACCTGTTTTGCTGCCCACCTGTTTAGCCTATCCCTTGCCTGCTCCATTGCTCTAATGTTACTTGAGTGTCTCCATGAAATGCGGGGGAGGAGAAAAGACCAAACGAGAGTCGTGTTGGTGAAGATTCTTGAAAGTAACTGGATGTCCCACTTAATTCTATAGAGTAATCTTGACAGTTTAATTTGACCCAGATCATTGGCCCCACAGTGAATGATTAAATATCTTGGAGGATCCTCTAATGTTGCTAAGTACCTAACCTTCTGAACTAGGTCAATAAATTTTAACCCACCATACCCTTGCCACCACATATCTACCCCTCTTTGGTTTAACCCAAGACTCCATCCCCCCGGTCTTAATCTTGCTGCCATGGATGCCCTTTTTATAATTGATGAGCCAACAATCCAAACTGTAATTCTGCCTGGCTTTGGGAACCCTGTAATATTAATTAACAAATACATGCCAGTTAGATTAAATGAGCTACTTATTATGTTAAAGGAGATGTTCGGCTAAGTGGAGATCTTATATAAGTCTGGAAGGCAGTTGATTTCCATCTTCCAGCTATTTTAATTTCTTCGTCTGAAAAACCCTTGTCTGCTGCCGTTGTTGCAGCCCCTATCCTGAAAGAATGAGACTTGTAATGCTTGCTTTCTAGTCCAATAGCTACAATGACTTTATCTAAAACTGCTGAAAATTGATATCTTGTAAGTGGCTTTCCTCCAAAATGACAAAATAAGGGTCCCGGAAAGTTTGGCCTTACTTCCAAAAACTTAGCCATTGCCTGCACTGGGCAAATAATTGAACCATGATTATTTATCACAACTTTTACCCCCTTTCCCAATTGATCAGTTTTAGAACACCTTATACACAATGTCAGTTGATTATTTTGTATGTACACATCACCATTCCCAAAATGGTTTGAGAGTTGTTGCCCTTAGATATCGCTAATTCTCCCACTCTCAGAAAGGCGAAAAATGCTAATGTATATGCTGCTGTGAATAATTTAGCTTCATAAAAACTTGAACACACACTGCTCAATGCCCCTATTAATTTAGCCAAATTTTTTTCTGTAATTGGCAACCTAGTATCAGCCCTAGAATTGAGACGCCTGAAACCCTTCAACACTTTGGAAACAATGAACCTGTTAGTTTAGTCTTCAAATCCTTTTATCTTGCACTCATAGCCAATAGCGCCTACATAGGCCCTAGCTGTAGACTCTGCATAGCCATTGAGTGATAGGTAAGCAATAAAGTTAACTATCTGCTCTACAGGAGGAGGCCAGATAATGTTTTCATCTGACATATTTCTAAACTTGTGGAATGCTATGAGCCCTGTTTTGTAGGTTACTGCAGTGTTGTAAGAATTGGATGCAATCAATAGTCGAGAAACTACCCCTTTGACATCAGACTGTGAAATGCGGATGGAATAGGATCTGGGATCTGGTTTGCTGTTGGAGCGAGTTGTCGGAATCTTCTCCACTGTTTACGAGAGAGAGCATCTGCTATACCATTATCAATGCCAGAAATATGTTTGGCTTTAAATATAATATTATATTGCATAAGCATCAAAACTAGCTTCCTAATTAAAAACATAATTCGTGGAGACCTTGAGGACTGAGTGTTCAGAATGCTTACTAAGGCAATGTTATCTGTATGGAATTGAACCTTTTGACGGCTAAGTTCCTCCCCCCAGATCATAACTGACAACACTATTGGGGTTAACTCCAGAAATGTTATGTCCCTGATGATATCATGATTTTCCCATTCTAAAGGCCATTCATAATAAACCCACCTTCCTTTAAATTAGCACCCACAACCAAAACCAATAGCTCCTGCGCTGTCTGTGTAGAGCTGGATTGCTCTTGAATTCACCCATTCCGAACATGGAAAGAAAGCTACACCATTGAAATTGTCTAAAAAATGAACCCACATTAACATATCATCTTTCAGTGCCCTAGTGATTCTAATGTGACTATTGGGGCGAGAAATGCCAATCATAGAATCATAAAATCTTCTGTTGAATGCCCTACTACCCCTGATAGCCTTGGAAAAGAAATTGAGCTTTCCGACTAGTGATTCCATTTCTTTCAACTTAACCTTTGACCTTTCCATAAGAATACAAAGCAGACCTTTGAGTTCCTGTATTTTGTCTTTTGGGATCTTTACAATTTTAAGCACTGTGTCTATTTCCAGCCCTAAAAATACTAAACAAGTAACAGGTCCTTGTGTTTTATCTACTGCTAAAGGAACCCCAAATTCTTTGCAGACATCCTGGAATAGTGTCATTAGTTGCAAACATTCACCTGATCCCCTCCTACCCGCAAAGATAAAATCATCTAAATAGTGCTCTATTGTACTCAAACCAGATTTATTTGTTATAACCCACTGCAAAAATGTTGAAAACTTTTCAAAAATTGAACAAGAAATGGAACATCCCATGGGTAAGCACTTGTCGAAATAGTATTGATCCTTAAATCTAAATCCTAACAGTTCAAAATCCCCAGGGTATATTGGAAGTAACCTAAATGCACTTTTAATATCGACCTTTCCTAACTCTGCACCAGGTCCTAACTGATTTATCATATCGAGTACTGTATCAAAAGCTGTATATTTAACGCTGCACTGGTCTGGGTCAATAAATGAGTTAATGCCAAGGGATGGAGGGTATGATAGATGTGTAATCATCCTCCAACCACCGCTTGACTTTGGCACTAGACCTATTGGAGAAATATGCATATTAGGTATAGGTGGGTGTGAAAACGGGCCCATTATCCTTCCCTCCTGTACTTCTTTTACAATTTTTTCTTGCAACTGATTTGGAAATTGCCGAGCCGAAAGCAAATTCTCAGATAAAATAAAAATTCTTGGACCTGTATAATTTAACTTAAACCCGTAAGTGAATCCTTTTAATATTTCATTTGCTACATTCCTTATTGGATATTGGTGCAAAAAAGGTGCCAATGCAGACACCCTAATTGGGATTGAACCTAGTTCCCATATGTTTGGGTCCCGAGAATCGAGGATGTCTAGGGGTAAGCTGGGGGGTGGAAGCTCCATAAAGTCGACTGGATTGATGGACCCCTGGCCGGAAAGCCTGTCTTGGGCTGAAATAAGAAGCTTGCCTGTTAACTACATTTACAGAGAAGGGGCAGTTTACCATGGAATGATCTTGACCACACTTTATACAAATGTGCGTGTATGAGCATGGTTTCCTCACACAAAACCCCTGAAAGTTAAATGCATAACATTTGTTTACCCCTTGAGTTCCCGTAAGCGATACATTTTGACCCCCTGTCATATACATGACCCACAATTCTGTATCTACAGCTGACCAAGATTTGCTGGGATCCATAGCCAATTTTAGACGGAACTGCTCGTCGTAAAGTTTCCACCCTGAGGACCTACCCGCCCCAGCACGTACATCGTGCATGTATTTTAGTAAATCCTGATATTTACCTGTATGGACAGATGTATATATGCTCAAATAAATGAGAAAGGCATTTGTCCATTTCTCAATAGTTGTGATTTTTTGAGTATTCTTGGGTTTGCTTTGCATTTGCCCATCATTACCCAATATAAAAATTCGCTCACTAGCTGAGTCTTCAATATTTGAATTTCTTAGTAATAGTGACAAATCTACATATTTTCCATCAATAATTTTTTGTCTGATAGTCTCGTTTACATTATGGCCCAATGAATATTGAATTGAATTTAGCGGTGTGGGGATAGAACCCCCGTCTTGCGACAGAAAATTATTTGTACCTGTTGATTGGTTGGAATTTTGGGTCCCCATTCCGTCGCACGTCGGTGCCTGTTGTGTCGCCAATGGCAATGATCCTGTCGCCGATTCCCTCGGATCCTGAACCTGGGGCTGGGCCTCCCCTCCGACCTGTTTCTTACTCCTCTCTCTTCTCCGTCTTGTCCTTATGGGCGGCATGCAGAATCTCCGAATATCCTAAAATTATGAAGCCATCGAAAGCGTTCCAGGTATACAAAGTATCCTAATGCGATTGATTTGACTAATTTTTTTTTTTAATTTAACAGATGTTTTTTTGGTTACTTAACAGTTATTTTTTAGAAAAATTTTAACTCTCAATTTCTAAACCATCTGCTGGTTACAGGCCTTGATTGAAAAAGGAAGTACGGATGCTGTAATTTCAGAGTGATACACGAGATGCTTATAAATTCCCGGTCCAAATTTCCGGATAACGCAACAGGCTGATACACAAAATTATCAACAAAACAAACCAAATTTTAGATTTACACAATACATAAATCCCAATCAATATTAGCTTAAAGCAAAATTATGAGGAGAAAAGCTTTGATAACGGCATATATTTACAGACAAGCTGAAATATATGCAATTATATTAAATGTATTTTAGAGGAAATTGGATTTAATTCTACAAGTGGTAATCTAACTTATAGTCATAATTCCCTTTTTAAGGAAGACATTCTTCAAAATCATGTCAGTTTTGAACATTTTTAATATTCGAAACAACCAAAATGAATTTGAATTACCATATTTATACTGTATTCCGAAACTTCATAAAAATTCTTACAAACAAAGATACATAGGGGGTTCCAGTAAATGTTAAACCAAGCCTCTTTCTTTACTGCTTACTAAGATATTAACAGTAGTGAAGGAGAAACCTTAAGAGTACTGTGCAACAATATATTCGTATTCGAGAAGTGGTGTAAATCAGATGTGGATACTTAAAAATTCCAAGGAACTTTTGGAAAATTTGAAATCACAAGATTTTACCAAAATCAACAGCTTAAAAACTTACGACTTTTCAACCTTATACACAACAATTCCCCACGATAAATCAAAGTCCAGGCTTTTTGATATCATTGACAGCTGCTTTTCAATAAAAATGGAACTCGTAAATTTTCGAGTCGTTTGCAAAATTATTTTTTTAAAAAACATTCTGATTGTACACACAAGAACTCTACAGTTGACTTTAAAAAGATACTTGAGTTTCTGATTGACAATATCTATGTGGTGTTTGGAGACCAGGTCTTCCAACAATCTATTGGAATTTCCATGGGTACCAATTGTGCCCCGTTATTAGCAGACCTTTTTTGTATTCATATGAAGCAGAATTTGTCCAAAATCTTATACGTGAAAGGAAGAAAACACTTGCTGTGGCCTTCAACTCGACATTTAGATATATCGACGGCGTATTGTCAATCAACAATGGTTATTTCCATTCTTATGTCGATACGATATATCCCGGTGAGCTTGAGATAAAAGATACCACAGAGTCTGACACATCTGGTTCATATTTGGATATTTTACTTGAAAAAGACGTTAATGGTAATTTAACAAACAAGCTTCATGATAAACGTGATGACTTCAACTTTTCAATCGTCAACTTCCTTACTTATGCAGCAATATACCTTCATCACCTGCATACGGGGTATATATCGCTCAGTTGATTCGATACGCAAGAGCATGCTCTACGTATGTACAATTTCTAAAACGAGGTAAATTATTGACAACCAAATTGATGAAACAAGAATATCAGCTGTCTCGTTTAAAGTCATCATTTCGTAAGTTCTATGGTCGATACAATGACCTTGTCAGCAAATACAATTTATCATTGATTCAAATGCTGACTGACGTTTTTCATACTAATTGTTAGGCCATTATTTACACACTGAATTGTTGACAGATTTTTCTGTTATTTCCCGATCATGACAAGGAGCACACGGCGGGTGTGACCGGTCGGCAGGGGGTGCTCACTCCTCCATGGCACCTGATCCCACCTCTGATGTTTGGAGGTCCGTGTTTGCTCTGCTCCTATTTTGTATTGTTTAATGGATTTTGAGCTTGAGAACTGTTCGTTATCTCCATATATATTTCCTTAATGCCCTACTCCCGGGTCGCCTCATTTTAAAGCTTTGGATACCTTGGAGTTCTCCACTCCAGACATTCAAAATTTATCAGACCTTGCGGTTTGCGAAACAGGAGGTCATAGCACATGATTCTGGTAGGAGTTTAAAATCCTATGTCCATTAAACAGGAGGTCATATTAAGTTATTCAAATAGAGGTTTAATATTGTATGACCACTAATTACGAAGGTATATCAAGTGATTTTAATATGAG